TATGTCAAATAAATATATATAAATAAATTAATATATAATTATTTTATATAATTTTATTGGCTGGAGTTAGTAAAGAACTCTTTCCAATGATTACTTAAATCACATTTTCCAAAAAACATTTTACTGCAAAAAGAGACCTTACAAGCTGGCACTTGACATGCTAAACAATAAGTCAGCACCTGTTATTTAGAAGTAGTTCTTATATACTACTTGCTAACAAGTTTAGAGTTTATCACTCACTGCATAGTCTCAGCACTTGTTGTTTAGAGGTAGTTCTTATACGCTACCTGCCAACAAACCCAAAGTTTATCATCTACTAAAAAAATGTTAAGCAGGTGTTGGGCGGTAGGTTTTGACTATAGAAAAGAAAACTCACACTCCTTTAAATTGGTTTGAAGTTTAAGTGGTTCTTCTTTATCTCTTGTTGTTTTCCCATTGGTCTTCAAATTTTTTTATAAAAAGTAGAGATTTGGCTTATCTTCTTCAAAAGATTGGCATTGTTTACTTACCAAATCTGGATAGACCGGTAGATAGCAATCACATGTTTGGAGATGAATACTTGCATAGGCCCTGGAACAAGTTCTAGTTAAAAAAAAAATTCCTGGTGGCAGCATTAAGTAGCTTGAGACACAAGTACCTGAGTGACGGCACCTTTATAGAAATATCGCAATCTTTGTTGTCGTTGGTGCCATATATGGAGAGTCGAATCCTAGTACAGTGGCAGCACTTGGTTTGAGATACGAACTAGGTTATTAAAAAGTTTCAGAAATAGGTTGAAGGGAATTGTAATGTGAAATTTAGTTATACAACAGAGATATACAGATATTGCATCTGGTATATAATTTTTAAATTACCTGGCATGAGTTATAATAGTGTGTCAGATCACTTAATTTTTTCTTTTTTCTGCTTGTTTTATTTATTTTTATTTTAGAACCGGTTTAGGTTCTTCTTTTCTTTTTTTCTTGTTGTTTCATTTTCTCTTTTGAGTTCTGTTTTCTTTTTTAGAACAATTTCTATTTTTTTTCGGTTATATGAGAGCTTTTAGAGATTTTCTTTAAATATACTTTTCTTCATAATATTGGCATATTAGTCTTATATAAAAGTAAGAAGTAATATGTATAATCTGCTGTGATTTAAGTAGATTGAGTTCGGGAAGATATTATCAAAATTTAAAGTGAGATAAGCTTGAAAGAAGAGATCGGCTCTTAAAAAAAGTCTTTTTTTTGCAAATTGGCATATATATTTGTGCTATGCAAAAGTAGAAGATAATATATTCTGCCCAAATATTGGTAGAATAAGTCTAGAAGAAAGGTAAAATATAATTGGTTCGAACGTAGATAGCTGAGTACCAAGCTATAGCAAGTTTTTAAATATGGGTATTACCGTATATGGAGCTTGTTAGCAATATCAGTGCGATAATCATATTTGGGCACTTTTATAGCAGCTGGGTATTTGTCTAATTAGATAGTTAATTTTGTAAATTACTAAAATTCTAATAAATTAGTGCAAGGTTATTAAAAAATAATAATAATAATAATAATTTTATTGGCTTAACTAATAAATTTACTTAAATTTTGACCTAAATTAAACTTAATTTAGGCTATTATACTTTTGATTATTTTAATAAAAATCTGTGCAAATTTATATATTTCTAAAATCTGTACAGAATTTATAAAAAATTTTTTTTTAAAAATAGTTATAAAGTTGCAGATTTTTACAGATTTTTAATTATTATTAGGTTTTAAAAATTTATACAAATCTGCATTTAAAAAATTTCTCTAATGTAAATTAGATAAAATTGAGTTTTATATTATTATTTCAAACTCAAACAATTTGCAAACTTTGAATCAAACCTAAATCAAACTTAATTATAATATTTGGATTTGATTTGAATTTGATTATTTTATATTTACTTTGAATTTGAATTCAAACTCAAATCAAATTTTGAAATCCTAGTTAGAGTATATTTTTAACAAAATTTTTTTTTTGTATATTAAGCTAATCACTTAGGTTCTTGGCACTTTATTAGCTCAAACAGGTAGACTATTGTTAACAACACTGGCTTTACATATTATATTAGTATCACAAAGATACAACTAGTTATACATACAACTTTTGATTGTTTAATTTAAATAGTCTACCCAAAGTGTTAGTGCTATACTAGGGGTTCTATACTAGGTACTATGCCTATAGCCAGGGTTGGCATATTTATTTATTGGGCCCAATGGAGAAGACCTCCAATAGCATTACTCCATTAGAAATAATTTGCCAATAGAGCCAATAAAGGCCAACATAATAACTATAAATTATAATATATATATATAATATATATATAATATAAAAATTACTACATATCACCACTGGTGATCATTACCAGTCCTAAGATTAGTTAGGGTTAGGGTTAAAAATTAGAGAATTATTGTTTTTTTTATATAATATATATAACTACTATAAAAGCCCAATAGGGCTCAATTTTAGTTTTTGTGAGGTTTTTTGGGATCCTGAACATTTTTACTTAGAAAACCCAATCCCGTTTACTTAGTACATTTTTGAGATATAGCAATACTGGTGATAATTACTAGTGGTAATAAAGAGCAAAATTCATATAATATATATATTAATTATAAAATTATTAATAACTTTTGATCCAATGATCTGTTTTGAGTGATTTAATTACCAAAATGTTTGTCATAATATGAGAATTCTAACAAGCCCAAAATTGTTAAAATCCAATCATAGAGTCTCAAGATTGCTTAATTTTTGTATAATTTTAATAAGAGTTTTTAACTCTTAATAAAATCGTACAAAATTAAGCAATCTTGAGACTTTATAATTAAATTTTAGCAATTTTGAGCTTGTTAGAATTCTCATATCATGACAAACATTTGGTAGTTAAATCACTCAAAACAGACTAGTAAATCAAAAGTTATTAATAATTTTATAAATTAATATATATACTTAATAATATAAATTTGATTACTGTATTTCTCTGAAAATAAGTACCTTTTACAATTCATATATATCTAAAAATAAGAATCTCTTATATAATAGAAATAAGTCAAATCATTCAAATTATTAGTTGAGATCATACCAGAAAATAAACAACCTTATAGCAAAAAAGGGGTACTTATTTTCAGAGAAATACGATAGTTAATTTAATAGAGTTAATAGAGCCAATAGAACCAATAGATACTATCTATTTACTCTATTGGCTCTATTGGCTAATTTTTCTAATATAGCTTATTCATTGCAACCCTGCCTATAGCCTAACTAGAAAGCTATCTATTTAAACTTTTTGGCATTACTAATATCACATGTTTTCTTTTAATATATCTCTATATAGAAAGTAATTTACTGATAAAAACTCTAAAACTTTAGCCTTGAGGTGTTTATCTTTGTGATAAACCTAACAAAATAGTACATGTTTTACACATGTGCTTATCTGTATATTCAGTAATTTCTTTTCAATTAGTATATTTTGTCTGCTACTATTATATTTGTATCTCATACCACCTTTTGGGGTGCAATCCATATCTCAAGCTCAACTTTTCTAATTGGTTGCCTATTACATACTCCTTGCTCTTATTGAGTTCACAACTATAGTTGTTGGTAAAACTAAATAATATTGATGAAACTGGTAACTATCTAAAATCTGATTGGCTATTGTATTCACTAACCAGTCAGATTTTAAATAGTCATCAAGTTTTACTAGTTTCACCAACAACTCTATTTACAACTAATCCTGATACCAACTTCTTTTTTAACTTCTAAGTTCAGTTTAGAGACATTTTTACTACCAATTTAGTTAGCCTGAAAGAGTTGTCTACCTGGCTTTAAGTGTCTAATAGTCTTTCTCTTTTTAGTATACACTTCCAGAGCACATGTCTTTTTCCTCTAATATAACTCTAGTAGCCAGATTGGTATTACCCTGAACCTATAAAGGTTATGATTGTTAGGCCTCTAGTTGAGTTTCTAGTATTGTCTTCTATTTTGCAGTATTGTCAAAAGTTAGCTACTACTTCTAATTCAAGACTTTCCAAACAGGTTTTTTATATATTGAAGGAAATTTTCAAGATTTACACAATCTTGAACTTATTGAGTATTTGCACTACCCTAAACTGGTTTGCATTCCTTTGTAATTTTCAAGTATATAAACGCTAGCAAATCTTTTAGAAATAAGCTCTGGTATAATTTAGATTACAAATCTTTCTGATTTGATTATCTTATACAGGTTACTATAATAAAAATTTATTTTTTAAAATCATCATCTATAGAATTCAAACTCTAAATTTGCCACTTGAAGAGGGTGACAACTAGACTACTTCACTAAATCACCACACCTTACTTTTAACAAGATTTTTAGAAATCTACTATTTAAATTATAAATAGTTCTAGCTTACTACTTGACAAAAGTATATACTTATAGATACTATACTCTAATTTATTTTATAGATGCTTTATAGGGCTAAGATTAAGGCTTTGTAAAAGCTAATAAAGTAAAATAATAAATTTTTTTTTTTGCTATAAATTCCTGCTATATAAATTTTTTTATTATCATCTTGAAATAAAAAGTTTTTTTTCAGTTATATTTTCTAAACTTTCTAAATAAGGCAATAAACAAACATTAAGAATATTAGTATAGTCTTTCAAATTTATTGTTTTATAAATTTAGATTAAAGATCTATACTATAAATGCTAAAGTATTCCAAACTATTATACTTTTTTTTCTGACTTAAATATCAATCTATATTATATTTTCTCTGGGTTTTCTTCATACATATATATAACTATTTATACCAAATACTTAAAACTATAATTAATTGCTTCAAATAATATTTTTTGCAACTTTTATTTCAATGTTTTTTACTTTTAGCCTACCACAAACAAGCTACATAATTAGAGCAAAAATATAAATTAGTTGATTTGATTTTGATAAAAATTTTGACACTCTTTTTTAATCAGATTTTCATATATAATTTTGACTTTAACTCTCTTTCTCTCTAGAAAATTAGCTGATTTTTGGCACTCCCTTTACTTTTATTTACAAATAATTTTTTCTTTCCAACTTTGCTAAAATACCCTATTTCATGAAGATGACATTAGATAGTATATATGAATATGTTTATAGATGTTAATTCAACAAATTTATTTGGTAAAATGTTTAAACCAGACTTTCTATCTTGCTTTAGTAGGTGAATGAGATAATAAAAACCATGTTTAGTTATTTTAGAAACTTTACTAAAATAAGAAGGTAGTTTTGTTTCTCTAATTTTTTTATAATAAGCAATAATATTATAGATGGTACTTTGGAGTAATTTTAAGACTTCTATAATCTTAATTGCCTTCATACTACACTTTTAAGCATTAATAATTTAGCTGTATTGTATTTTAATAAGTTTTTTTCTTTGCTCTATTTTTAAATATATATATATTCAAATAAACTGGCTTTTGACAAAGCTATAAAAAAATTTTTGTGGCTGTATAGTATTGTTTTAGTCATAAAAAAAATTTTGTAAATAATATATTATAATTATTAATTATATATAAATTAGAAAATTCTAGTGATCCCTGTCAGGGGAGTGAACATTCTATTAGCATTAAATATTGTATTTGTTTAAATTAAACTATAAATATTAAGTATTAAAACACAATTTACAAGCTTTATTTATATTAGTAATCTAATTGTTACTATTATATAAACCCAATAATTTTAGGGAATTGCTATTTCCACCCCAAAATTTGCTAATACCATCCCCTAGCTGGCCTCTGATCCTTCTGACCTAATTAAAATTTAATATTCTAGCAACCACCTAACCAAATTTGACAAAACTTTTTTTATTTGAATTTTATGAATCTGTAGAATTCTAAAAAAAAATTTTCATCAAACTTGATCAGGTGGTTATGGATATAGATGCTGGTGAAATACAGTGAAATGTGGTGAAATAATTTCACCACTATTGGTGAAATTGGTGAAATTAATTTTACCAGCATCTATAGTTATGGAGATATATTCACTCAAAGTAAGAGAAAAATCAAAACAAACCTTTGAGCGAAGATATCACCACAACTACCTAGCAAAACTCGATAAATTTTTTTTATTTAAATTCAGAATTAAAATAAAAAAATTTTATCAAATTTGGTCAGGTGGTTGTAGAGATTTCTTCGCTTAAAGTTAGAGAAAACCAAATGCCTATCAAAATAGCTATGCCAATTTTTTTAAAATTGAGTGAAGATATCTCCACAACCACCAAAGCAAATTCGCTAAAAAATTTTTATTTGAATTCTTTGGATTCATAGAATTCAAATAAAAAAAAATTATCAAATTTGGGCAGAAAAATTGACATAGCTATTTTGATAGGCATTTGGTTTTCTCTAACTTTAAGTGAAGATATCTCTACACCCACCTGACCAAATTCGATAAAATTTTTTTATTTGAATTCTATGAATTCATAGAATGTAAATAAAATTTTTTTATCGAATTTAGCTAGGTAGTTGTGGAGATATCTTCGCTCAAAGGTTTTAAAAAATTGACGTAGCTTCTTGTTTTGATTTTTCTCTTACCGGTACTTTGAGCGAATATATCTCCATAACCACCTGACCAAGTTTGATGAAAATTTTTTTGTTAGAATTCTACGGATTCATAGAATTCAAATAAAAAAAGTTTTGTCAAATTTGGTCAGGTGGTTGCTAGGATATTAAATTTTAATTAGGTCAGAAGGATCGGAGACCGGCTAGGGAGTGGCATTAAGCAATGGAAATAACATTATAATTTCATTATATATTATTCCCATAGCAAAGTCACGGGTTTAACGCTAGTAAATTATATAGCATATAGGTATAATCGTTACTTTAAAACCAATAAACTTTGGAGTAAAAAAATGGTTTATTTATTTTTTAAATCTATTTAAGTTACAAAATTTTAAAAAATAATATAGCATCAAAGCCTCAAGTTTATAATAATTTTATGTTTTATTATAATTTTATATATAAAAAAATTAGATATAACATAATCGTATAACTGTTAATATTTATACTGACCAAATGGTCTTCGGTCGCTAAAACGGTCTCGACCGTAATTACGATCTTCATAACGGTCTCGTCCTTGATTACGATCTTCATAACGGTCCCGCCCATAATTACGGTCATCATACGAACGCCCTCCCCACGATCTTCCTCTTGGTCCATTGTTACCACCACCAAATCCTATCCTTGAAAGTAAACCGGGACTTATATTTGGCTCAGTTCCAAAAGCCTTACCTAACTCGTAGGCGGAATCCAATAAATCATCTTTTCTGATGAAATATGAACTCATTTTTCCCGAATCTAATAAATAAACAATTAATTGATGTATTAGCAAAGATAAATAGGCAGCTTATATTCAACCTATAATTTCTAAACCGAAACTTAAAATGCTTACAATATCCGAGGAAAGCCATACACGCACTTTTCACTATAGAACCATCAAGCATTTCGATGGCTTTTTCAACTCTTGAGTCAGTACTTTTTTCCAAATCAGAATTAATACCTTCTATGAGTTTTATAGGTAAGTCATCAATGCAATTTATAAATCCTTTTTCAAAAGGTGCCAAAAGTAATATTCCTTCCCCTTCTTTGCCCGCACGACCTGTTCGTCCTAAACGATGGATATACTGATCACGTGAAGATGGTGCACCCACTTGAACTACCAAAGTAACTCCCGGATAATCTACACCACGTGCCGAAACATCTGAAGTAACGAGAACTGCATCATGTCTCGATTGCCGAAACCTATTCGATACTTTAGTACGTTGTTCTTGAGTCTTTCCTGAATGAAGTTCAAAAACTTCAATATCACCAACATTTCGAAGAAAATCTGCGTAAAGTATGGTTGACATTTTTGTTGGCAGAAATATCATAATTTTTCCGTTTTTGTGCTGTTTCATGTGATCATTGATAATTTTGCGGATTGCAATGAGGTGGAAATGATAAGGGATGATAGCATATGTTTGCTTTACTTGAACGTTTGTGTTTACATCATTCGGATCAACTGTATCAATAAATGTGTACTCTGATTTAAGTGCAAATTTGGCAATTTGTCGGATTTGTGGTGAAACTGTAGCAGAAAATAGAAACGTTTGACGATCCTTTGGATAATATTGAATAATCCTCTCAATATCTTCACGAAATCCCATGTCTAGTAACTGATCCGCTTCATCGAGGATTAACTGTCAGATTCAGAAAGAAACGCAATTAGCAAAATTGTTGATTCTAGTAACAGTATTATTTTCACAAATTATGTAGTCAATTATACACACGGTTTTAATTTCCATGCATTGTCTATTGAAGTGTGGAAGGCTCGATAACAAGTCCTCAACTCTTCCAGGGGTACCAACAACTATGTCAACTCTGTGGCGCATCAACCTTCTGATTTGTGCGTCCCTTCGTTCACCACCTACTAAACAATGAACTCTGTAGCCATAAAAACGCGTAAGTCTCTCTGCCTCTGTTGCGATTTGTTGTGCCAACTCGCGAGTCGGAGAAAGAATCATAACTGAGACCATTCTACCATCACTTTTAGGAAGAGACTTTCGATGCATGGTCTCTATTGCTGGTATTAGAAAAGCCAAAGTTTTTCCAGTTCCTGTCTTTGCCTTTACAAACAAGTCTCCTTCGATTGGAGCTTGTGATAATACGGCATTCTGAACTTTTGACATAGTGACATATTTGAATTCTTCTCTTAATGCTCTTTGAGTTTTGGGTAAAATTGCTGTAATCTCGTCGAAACGGCTTTCCTTTTCTTGGATACTACTATAGGGCCGGAACATTATAAACCGACGTGATCTAACATGAGAGTGCTGGGAAAAGCTAATTGGCAATACAACAGAGCGTATGCGAGACAGAGATTTTAATAGATTCATGTTTGAAGTAATTTAGAAGTAGATGACAACTAATCGATTTAAAATTTTTTAAGTTGAATGATTATCTATCGCTATTTAGAAAAAAAAAATTTCTGCAGTAACACAAATCCAAAAAAGTAGTGTTCCCGAGTTGGTAAAAATTTTTCCGATTCTTTATATAGTCTTAAGTGACGCGTAAAAAGTAATAAAGAAAGCAACTGTCACAATAAAAGAGCTTCTTTAGAATCTGTACAATGAAAATCAGATTTAGATACAAATTTTTTAAAACTTGTTTTTTTTTTTAATTTACTCTTGGTTCTTAAATGCATATTCTTTAATCTTTAAAAAATCTCATATGACACTTATAGATTTTTACCCTAAATACAAGATTTTTTGGTCACCTCACGATATGCATTTACTGTATACTATATTTTTAACAGTTTTAAATAAAGATAATATGCAGTACATACAATATATGTTTAAAAAAAAATTTTTATATGAGCTATTTGATAAAATAGGACCCAAACATAGCACAGAGATTATATATTCAAAAACCTTCAAAATTTAAAAAAAATCCTTTTGTAATTATTTTATACAGTATTTAGTAGTTTAATATTTAAAATAAAGATTAGTAAAAAAGTTGGTTATTGGATTTTAAGATATTTAACAAATTAGAAAAAAATTTAACTCTTTGGACAAATATTATCTTATTTTACTTCCGGGATTTTTATTTGCCATTATGTAGTAAATTTACAAAGATTACATAATTGGGTTTTGACAGTTAATATTGTAAAACATTAATTGCAATTTTTATAAATTTTGCTAATGTCAAATAACTAACTCTGGGAATTAAGTGGGAGGTATAATGAGCTAATATTAGCCTTTTACTAAAAATAAAATTTACTAGAAATACTATCTTAAAAATATACTAATAAACAGAATTAGACACTTTAATTTTTTTTTTTTTTTGTTAAGTATTCAGTGACTAGAGTTTATTGATATTTTAGATGTAAAAGATCACAAGGGCTTCTAGTACAAATTGTATTTATAGTATCAAATCTAATCTAACTGGTTTATATCCAACATATTATAAACTCTAGTATATTTATATCTAGCACTGTTACCAAACTTTATCTACAGTACTATTGGCAAACTTTCAGCCCAAACCTTCTGTCTTACCTAAGATAGGCATTGGCTGCATATACCTACCTCAATCTTTCTGTGTCTCACACACTTTAAATTAAATATTAGAGATATTATATCTTTAAACTAAAGTTAGTATTTGAATATTACCCCTACATATCCTCTGCTTTTACAGAGTTTATATCTATTCTAATGTTTATTTTATTTTTCTTTTTGGTCCTTTTCACTAACTTAATATCCTCCTAGTTAGTAGGCTTGGAACAAGATTAGTTTATTCTGGCTTTATATATCATTAAACTCTTAGTACATGATTTTGTAATACATGTCTTTTTTCTCTAGTGTAATTCTAGCAGCCACTCTGGACCTCAAGAGGTCTAGCCAAACAATATACCAGAACTGGTACTAGCCAAGTTCAGTTTCATAGCATTGTCAAAGGTTTCTGCTATCTTTCTAATTTGGGGTTTCCCAAATGGATTTTTGGTTATTCTGGCTTTTTAAAATTTACTTAATTTATAACTTATTATAGAGTTTGTATTTGCTAATCACTGAAAATCACTGGACCTGTATTCTCCTGTATAACTAAACACAGATATAAGTAGTGCTCTAGGTCTAGTCTGAGTTCGGTTTGGTCTAGGTCTGGTCCGAAATTGAACCAGACTCAGACTTTAAATTTTATTAGTTTCAAACCTCAGACCAAACTCAAACTTTATTATAAGTTTGGTCCAGGTCTGGTTCAAAGTTTGCAAACTAGTTAAGTCTGAATATATTTTTATATATATTTTTGTGCTTAGCTTATTATATAAACAAATTCATGAAATTTGAAAATCACCTGATACCAATACCTTCCTAACACAATCACTTTCCGGCAACCACTATTTTCTTTTCCAAACAACTGTTTTTCTAACAAAACTATCTACCCAATGATTATTTACCTGAAAAAAACTTTTCCAACAGCAACTCATTCCCAATACCAACAACTAATTATATCACTACATCTTGATGATCACCTGTTTTCTGATAGCCACATCTTTTCTAATACTATCCAACAACCCTGTTAATTAATACAACTTTTATTCCTATTATTTCTTCTTAATTAATAATCATTTTCTAAATTATTATTAAAAAAAAATTAAACCAAAATTTAAAAAAATTGTTAAATAAAAAAAATTTTTTAATTCGAAATTTTTGCTGATCAAATCAAATTTTACAGCTGTTTTTATAAATTCCAAGAACCTTAAAAAATTTGCCAATATCCATTTGGCCGAATTCAATAAGCTATTTATCTCAATAATATACATATAGGAGGTGCTAGTAGAAACCAAGCAAATTAATAAATTTGAGTTTTTAAAATAATGTGACTTTTGTGTTTTGTTACACAAACTCATATAAACAATAATCAACATCTGGGTAAACAATGATCAGCATCCAGATAAACAATAACTGATATCTGGCCTTAATCGGAATCTGTATAATATAAATTGACCAAACAAATTTATTGGATAAATTTGTTTGGTTTCTACTAACTCATATAAATCAAAGATCAGATAATCTATTTTCTAATCTAATAAAGATCAAAAAATCATTTCTGATCAAAATAAAATTTTGTGTAACTTAAATTCTAAACCATAATATCTCAAAATTTTATTAATTTATAAGAGGTTCATTATTAAGTAAAAAATGTTTCTTGTTAAATTTTATATTAGTTAAATAAAAAAACTTATTTTTGAAAAAATTTTGATTTACTTGGTTTCTACTAGCATCCCATATATATATATACATAATACATATGTATTTGTTACTAAGATTTTCAACTCATATTTATTAAAAATAGTTAAAAAAGTTTAGAAGACTTCAGTTAAAATAATTGCTAAACATTTTTGAATATTAGCAGTTCTTTTGTCAAATAATTTCAAAAATATAAATATATTAATGAATTACTATCACTTTAAATAAATATTATATATGCTTTGAACTTTATTATAATTATTAAGACATTATTAGCAAATATTATTAAAATTTTAATCTCTAATTTCTACTTGTGTTGCATTTTTTTACAAGCTCTGATTGTATTTAACCTTTTTTTTTTTTTACTAGTGTCTACTTATATAATATAATATTATATATTAAAAAGACAAATTTTCAAACTTTTTTTTATTTTTATATAGATACAGTATATTTTAATAAACAAGTTTGCTATACTATAAATTACTAAAAATAATTATTAATAAAAAAAAATCACAAAATGAACTTGAAGAAATTTTGGTTTTATTTTTTTTTATTTTTTATTTTTTTGGTATTAAGATAACCTCTTTGGTCTGGGAAACTTTTTATTAGAGTATAGACGAAGTTTTATATGTAATTACAATGATGGTACATCAAGC